TGCGCGTGTAGGGGTGTGCGTGTGTAGGGGTGAGTGTGTGCGTGTGTAGGGGTGTGCATGTGTAGGGGTGCGTGTAGGTGTGTGTGTGTGTGTGTGTAGGGGTGTGTGTGTGTAGGGGTGAGTGTATGCGTGTGTAGGGGTGTGTGCGTGTGTGTGGGGGGTGTGTGTAGGCCCACGGAGCACCGAGGTCGTGCATGAACTGTCTTGTGAGTGACCCCTCCCTCGTGTGTCTTTATAAAGCCTTTGCGTTTCATGGTCCCCGAAGGGTGAGGTCTGAAGAGACTTGAAGACCCCACTGTCATTTCAGTGAGTAGAAGCCCTGGCTCGTCAGCTGCTGCTGTCCCTTTGATATGACTGAGTGGGACCCCTGCCCTGCATCCACCCAGCCTTCCTGGGAGCGGACTGTCCCTGAGGGATCATTCACACATACACTGCAGCCATTGGGGCTTCTGCTAGACGCTGGTGACGGCCCACGTGCATGGGGACTACATCACGTGGGAGGAATTACTATGCTGTTCTTTTTTGAGTGTTTGACAGACACGGGGTAAATGAAAAGTGGGTGAAACCTGTGCCATTGGGGATGGTGGACAGTAGGAGGTGGCATGCATGTCTTCGGCTTACTGACACTTCAGTTTCCATGAGGAAACGTGCTGATGTCCTGCTCGAAAGCTGAACTCTGAGTTTCCTGTGTTTTAGGTTGAATAGGATTGCGAACCAGGTGGCCGTGCCACGGAAGAAGCAGTTCGTGGAGAGAGCCCACAGCTACTGGCTGCTCAAAAGGCTGTCCCGAAACGGCGCTCCCCTGCTGAGGCGGCTCCAGTCCAGCCTGCAGTCCCAGAGAAGCTCGCAGCAGGTATGTGCCCTCTACACACCTCCCACTGTCTCGCCCCCCTGACAGATTGGCAGACGCAGCGGCTCTTGGGGGCATGTGCTGCGGCGCCTCGGGCTCCAGGCACCTTGTTTGTAGCCCCTGTCTGGCCCAGTCCTATAAGCGAATGAGGACCTGTGTGTGTGCTGGGATACGGGGCTGTGGGTGTTGCAGGTGTCTCATCCAGCCATGTGGCCTGGTGTTCCTGGGCATCCAGGAACATGCTGAGCATGTGGGGTGGGGGTCCCAGAGCCAGGGCAGCAGCAGGTGATGAGGCTGGGCCCGTGGGCGGGGTCCGTGCTGGGCGCTCCTGTTTGGAAGAGTTGCACAGGAGTGATTCATTTTAAGGGCCTCGCTCTGAAGGCTGGTTTTGCATTGACTGCATTGCGGAGTGAAGGAGGTGAGAGCAGATGTGAGTGAGAGGGACAAGAACTGGCTTTTTAAAGAACGAAACGAAACCAAACAGGTGCTTACGTGTTAGTACTGAATTTGGCTTTACAGAGCCCTCTGGTGTAATTGTAGAGTGGTTCTGAAAGAATGGGTTTAGGGAGTAAGAAATTGGCTCTAAGAAATTGCAACCAGAAATGGTTCATCTGCACATCGCCCCACATTCCTGGCTGGCACTGTCAGCTCTGGATGCTGTGAGGCGTGGCTGGCCTCGCAGGAAGGGCCTGGCCATGTCCTTGGGCCGGGAGGCTGTGAGGTGCCCTTGCTCTGCCATCCTGGGCACGCGGTGGGAACTGTCCCTGTGACAAGTTCGTGTTGGGTTGCTGTGTGGCTGCCACACCACCACTGTGAAAAGTCTGCTGCTCTGTTCCTTTTGATTCTGTCACCAGGTGACTGAGCAAGTCCAAGGGGATGCTGTCAGACCCAGCAGGACGTGGTNAGTGTCACTGGCCCTCATATGTGGGATCCGAACCGGGGCCCTCTGGCATCCCAAGCGAGTTCTTAACCATCGCGCCACTCGGCCGGCCCAATGATACTCATTTTTAATTGGATTTCTGTTCCCTTTGCCCTTTTCCACTGTTGACATCATTTTTGTCCTTTATTGTTTTTAAATTCATGGTTATTTTTAATTCCTCTATTTTTCTTGATTAGTGCTTATCAAAGTTTGTTTACTAGTCTTCAAAGAGCAGAGCTTTGGCCGTGAGATTTTCTCTTATGTCGTCTTCTGTCTCACTGCGTTTTTACTTCTCTGTTCCCCTGTCTTTACTGAGATGTCATTGACTTTGAGATGGAGGTGTGCAGTGTGATGATTTCCTACACGTATGTATTGTGAAGTGTTTAGCATGACGTGAGTTCACACACCTTCATCACACGTGATTGCTGTGGTTGGGAGGTGGTGAGAATATTAAAAACTCTCCTAGCAGCTTCGAGTGCGCCTTACGCCGCAGTTAACCAGCCACCACGCTGGGCCCAGGCCCGGGGGTCCTCCTGTATTGCCTTTTACTTTGTGTTTTTTCCTGCCTTTGTCAGTTGGATGCTTAGCCTGTTGAGTCAGCTCTTCTCCTTTCTAACAGACGTCTCGGATGTAGCCCATCAAAGTAATTTTGAAAAGCAGTGTCACGCCTTCCACATTTTTGAGTTGAAATCCAGTATTTTTCACCCCAAGGTCAGACAGCAGAAAGGCATAATTTCTGGAATATTGAAAGTATGCAAGTGTTAAAAGGCTCATCACTTCTGGCATTTTGCCCTGGCATTTTTCACTCTGGGCCGACGGCTGCCCAGCTGTTATCTCTATGTTATCTTAGGTCACTCTCACTGGACTTTGAGTGTTACGATTTCTTCCTACTCAGTTTGTTGTTAAAATTGTTCGCACACACTCGAGCAAAACAAACGGACAAGTTGAGGATTCTTAACCATCAGTGACATTTAAAGAGGCTCACGAAACAGGGTTTAGAAAGTCAGGTGAGGTTTCCGCATCGGATGTAGTTCCTGCTGTGATGAGATAGGGCTCCCTCAGTCTGTTCCAGTTTCTGTCGCCACAGTACTGGAAGCCTTGGCCACGTGTGTCATTGGGCTGTAATGAAAGGGTTGTGTTGCAGCCGTGGACTCAACTGTTAAAACTGCCTTCCAAGTTGTGTACTGAAGTCCCAGCTGACGTTTCATGAGCTGACCTTCGCTGGTCCGTCCTTCAGTGTCTCCAAAAGCTGAGAGGGGCAGTTGCAGCCATCCACTGCCTCCCAGGCCTCCCGAGGCCTTCCCACCAGCATGACGGTATCTCTCAGGGACACCTGCTTCTCTTTCGTTTGAGAGGAGGCACTGTGTTTATAAGATGCAGAAAGGCTTGAGAAAAATCAAGCTTCTGATCCTTTCAGTGCCAAAATTGTAGACAGAAAAGAGTTGAAAGTAGAATGCAGTATCAGAGAGTTGCATGGAAGAAATTGCTAGCTCAGTGAATTACGATAGGGCGGCCTTGCTCGTAAGCACCGTCCACCTGGAGGGCAGGACCTGGCCGGCCCCCAGCCCCCTGGTGATCCTTTCCTGTCCTCAGGGCCACTGCTGTCCCCACCTGTGTGGGACTTGCCTGCTCACCCTTTCCTGAACACCAAGGTTTCCTGGGACTTTTAACATTCAGGAGTCCTTGTAAGTCTCTCCTCTTGGTCTCTTTAGCTTTCGAGTTTGTCGAGGGAGTCGGGTCCCCCCCCATCCTGTCTCAGGTCCCCGTCTGTCCCTTGGCTGGGTGTTGGGCGTTTCCTTGGTGTGGTTTGGTGTGTTCCTCTGCCCTCCACGTGCTGTGAAAGGTGGTTGGGTTGGGGCGGGTGAGTGCAGCTGCGTGTCCTTCTGGGAGCCACATGGGTGCGGTGCCCAGGCTGCCTGGGTGCTTGGCCCCCATCTGCTGCTCGGACTCCTTGCCGCTCGTGAGGTAGACTCCTGCCCAGAGCGTGGCTTTCCGGTAAATACCTGAGGACAGCTTTAAGTACATTCTCATCACAGACTGTGGCTCATGCCTGGGGGCTGTTGAGGGCTCAGACATGCTGCCGGGAGTAGAAGGCAGATGGCTGCAGGAGGTTCAGACCCTTTGTTTATAGGCGTGTTGCCAAGTAGCGTTTCTTTGAACCTTGAAATTGTTAAAAAAAACAAAATCCTTGTATCGATGTTGCTTCACTTGCTGTTGAAATAACAGCGTGTGTGTGTGTGTGTGTGTGTGTAGGGGTGTGTGCGCGTGTGTAGGGGTGTGTGTGCGCGTGTGTGTAGGGGTGTGTGTGCGCGCGCGTGTAGGGGTGTGCGCACGCGTGTGTAGGGGTGTGTGCACGCGTGTGTAGGGGTGTGCGCGCGCGTGTGTAGGGGTGTGTGTGTGTGTAGGAGTGTGTGTGTGCGTGTAGGAGTGTGCGT